CTCTGGTACTCTAGCACCCAATGTCGTCAGGTGTCCATCTCCGCAGAAGTAACTAGTCGCTAGGTCCGGTGACGTCTAACGTGTTCCCTGCCCACAGCATTACAGGAGGACAGAAAGGTATGTTTTTCTGTCCTCTGCTGCAGCCTGCTCAGGCTTCCACCCCTTGCCTATCAATTAAAAGATATGTGTGGACAATATAAAAAGGGCACAACCAATGTAAGGGGGCACTCTGATGGGCCACAACAGCATCGCACCTTACTGTGCCCATAGAACTTCATGAAAGGTCACAATTAAGGTAAAGATCTGTGCAGCTCCTGGTGTGAATACAGTCTAAATGGCAGACCATGGTCCAGACACTGACTGAGTGATCATCCTGTCCGGACCACAATTTGGACCTTTGCTTGAAGAGTATTTTACTTTCAGGACTTCCTTGAATTTAAATACCCCTGCCCTACACTATACAATGGGAAGGTCATATTGCTTGCCAATATTGCATAAATGTTCCAAAACGTTTGATTGTGTGAGTAATTAACAGACATGCTGCAATCAATGGAGAAAACAAACGTGCAGAGACTAGTAGAATTTCACTTAATGCACACACACAACTCTTTGGGTATGGTTAATTAGACAAAATATGCATCGCTAAGAAAGACGCACAAACATCCTCATCAAACATTCTGACTCAGCTGCTTACCATCTTTTTCTTATTCTACTTGAAGATTTCAATAAAAGAAAGAAGTAAAAACAAAAATAAGATAGACAGCAAACGTTTAAAGGAATAGTCTACAATAGAACAGGTATATACAGATGAACAGGTTTGCGTGGAGAAATGACCATGAAAAAGTGGGGTGCTCAGTGACGTCGAGGGGGCTTTGCCTTTGCATGAAGCTCTAGCACAAGGTGAAACTCCGCTGTTTTTTTACATTACCAGCTACATAAGGTTGAGTAGGCAGAGTGGGGAAGTGTGCATTGATGGTGAAGAGCCTGTCTACACCTGTGCTGATAGATGCAGAAAGCACAAGTGCCTATGTACAGGGGCATTTGTTTTCCTTTTCTCCTCATTCAAGGTAATGGGAATGCAAAATAGCTTGGGAGGAGGTCATAAGAACCTCCAAAAGGAACTAAGAATGGACTAGATGGTGTGCTGCATTTGCAGCCCTGATGTTAGCTGTCAAGTGGTACCTTTTCAATGCATCAGTTTTATAATATAAATGTGACTAGTTGTGGCCAGCCCTACTGATCATTACAGAAATCATCCATCATTTTGGTTGTGGCTTTATGACCCTGGGTTTAATGTCACTTTAAGATGCACATATCATCTTATAGGAAGATTGTGGTTGAAATGACCTGGAGACAGAATCTCTAAAATTTGAGTGGCTTGACCATTTAACAGGATTGTCAGGCCAACTTTTTGAAAATATGAACTCCGGGCAAAACCTTTATTAACCCTTACAGTGGGGCTACCCTCACACTGTAAGGGTTAAGTGGTTGTTTTTGTCTAGGTGATCTCTCTCTCTATATGTTATACTGACCTGAACCACGGAGGAGGATTGTTCTTAGATCGGTCCTTCCAGTCTCTCTCTCCCTCTCCGCTGCAGCAGTCCAAGGTCCTGTAAATTATAACATTCTATACACAGTGTATAGAAGTTAGGACGCTGAGAAAAATTCCATCTCTGCAACGTAGAAGCAGACAGCTGAGCTGTCGGATGAGTATAACTTTTTCTAGCACCTAGACAAAAACGATTAGTCAACCCTTGCAGTGCAGGTATAGCCCCGTCACAAGGGTTAATAAAAGCTGTGCCCGGAGTACCTCTTTAAAGAATGGCAAGATCATTACTGAACAAAAATGAGATGCCTAAACCAACTGGCAAACAGGAGTCACTTTATAACTTCAAGAAAGAAAGCTATGCTGCCTACAGCACTAATCAAAACACCGGGATTCTAACAGTTTCTCTCAGCTACAGCCTCTAAGTACTACCAGTAGGTCCTGTTTTGATGAATTCATCTAATAGTTGGGGTAATGAGTGATCTATTGTAACGTCATAAATTGCCTGTGATAGACTGAGCATATATGTCCTGGCATGATCCGATTGCCTTCAGGCTGAAGGTGCAGAGCACCTCAAAATGTCACTTGGTCAAAAACATAGTTATGTCAACATAGAAGGGAGGACGCTGCCAGTGCCGTGTACCATAGAAGTGTAGAATAGTGACTAAAGAGATATTCCATGCTGTCTGAACAGTTTTCCAATCCCTCTCCTAAAAGTGGTCCACTAGCGTGTCTGCAAGTAACCATAAACATCAAATTATCCCCTAAAATATCCCTCGTCTCATGTCTACAGAGCAATACACAAGGGATTGTTTTCCCATCCAGCAAGCGCATACACTGGATAGTGAATACTGCACAATCTTTCCGTTGGGCAAGGCCAGTCTGTAATACCTTAGTGTACAGTTCTATTTTGGAGTGCTATCTGATGTTGGATTTAAAGACTGAAGTTGAGAAACACACTAACTGGCAGTATGAAACCTGACTGACAGATTTTGTTTTCGAATAGCGCAGATACATTTTTTTAACGCAGCCCCAGTGAGGGATCTAAACTACAAATTCAGTAAGAAATACAAATAAAGTTCAACAATAAAAAGTTACCTTGATTTCAATGTTTCCCACTTTTGCTGTGGAGCGAATGACAGGCCGTCCGACCAGGGCTGGGAAGATGTGCTCTGGGAAATTGGATCCTGCATAGCCACATTTCACAAACTAAAGACAAAATGACAAAAAAAAACAAAAACATTAAATATGTAACCAGCAAATTGTAAAAGGGTATTGGCCAATCACTTAAAGCTCAAATTCTAGCTCCCCCCCTACTACAAATGGGTTGCACACAGAGAATTGTTCTGTCTCCTACTGAATAATAGAGAGTACAGCTCTCAAACCAAATAAAGGAAATTGCTCGTCTTGCTCGCCAGAAAACCCAGCTTAATATGCGTGAAAAATATACCCCTTCATTGCCAGGACATTGTTTAGTTTTCAGCACTGTGATCGTTTGCATCACTGTAACCAGAATACCAAGTCCTCCCTATTGCCATTTTAAAACATACGGCAGTAGGCGAGTAGTTAAAAAAAGGAGAACTGTGGGGTTAAGGCTTTTCCCCATAGTTCTCCTTAGGGTAACGGGAGGACACAAACCAGCGTCCTCCCATCACCCTAGGCTCAGTATACTGCGAGCTGTAGCTCGCGGTATACTGAGACGCCGCAGCTGAAGCGGATCCCGACAATTATGTCTGGATCCGCCCAGCTGCGTGACTGACAGCTGGCTCTGCCTATCTAGAGGCAGAGCCAGCTGTACCCGCCCCTCCCCCGTCCGTTCCACCAGTCAGCGCTGGCGGACCGGGAGGGGGGAATCCAGCCCCTCCCCTGTCACGGCAGAGAGCCGTGACAGGATCGAGAGGTGAGCGAACGCCGGTATGTGTTCGCTCACCTCCCGATCTACTGAGCCGACCTGTGACAGTCTCATTGTCACAGGTCGGCTAGAACTATGAGGATGAGTGAAAAGCACTCACCTCATAGTTCTCCTTTAAAGTACAACTAAAGGCTCCTGTATTGCAGCCTAAACAAGTCCAGTTTACTATGCCATGCAGAAGACTCAAACAAAAAACTTCCTTTACTTTCCCTGACTGAGCCAAATCCTCCTTCACTTGTGTCTCATACTCTCCCCTTCCCAGACACTGCAGCTTACAGTGGAAGGATTTCAGCAATGCTATTAAACCAGAAAGTAGTGGGCCAGTTAAATGTGTCCAGAGCCTAAGTGACAATCTACATGCTTGTGAATCAGCAATGCTGATAGCCACGTCCTCTGCAACATCCCTTCCCACTGTATTGGAAGCAGGCACAGCCTACATAAGGGTGACAACACTGCTCTGAATTCAGCATTCTTGCCACCCCATCACAGGAGGATGCATTAGGCCAACTTCTGTGGCAGGATTAACAGGTATTTTTGAGACTTTGCAGCCCTCTTAAATAAAGCAGTAAAGATTTAAAGAAAAAAAACTGAACCGGCCTGATAAAAACAAGCACTTAACCCTTGCAGTGGGGGGCGGCCCCAATGCAAGGGTTAAGTGCTTGTTTGTGTCAGGGTTTAAAAAATTAAAAATGATATTATATTATAATGTTCTCTTTGGAAGGAGATTAAGGGGGGGACATGATCTTCTTGTATAAACTGTTCAATGGTGACAGCAACATTATTAACAAACTCTTTACGGTTAACTCCATAACAAAGACCAGAGGGCACCACCAAAAGTTGGTGGAAAAAAAATGTCAGCACACGGAGCGCAAGGGATTCTTCTCAGTTAGAGCGGTTAAGGTCTGAAACTCACTGTCTCCGGCAGTGATTTCAGTTAAGAGTGTGGAATCATTCAAGAAACTTTTGGACGATTTCCTTAGAGACCATAACCTACAGGGGTACAGGTACTGCTAAGAGCAAAATCACACATGGACTAATACACACGCACACACCTGATCAAACATAAATGCATACACGCAATAGGTTGGACTTGATGGACTTATGTCTTTATTCAACCTCAAATAAATACATATACACACACACACACACACACACACACGTATATATTAGCCTTGTTTCATAGTTCTGGTCCTCTAACCCCTTAATGAGTTTGG